CCTCTCAAAATGTCCTCGCAGAATATCCAAAATGTCCTCTTAAAATGTCCTCTTAAAATGTCCTCCCAAAATGTCCTCTTAAAATGTCCTCTCAAAATGTCCTTGCAGAATATCCAAAATGTCCTCTTAAAATGTCCTCTTAAAATGTCCTCCCAAAATGTCCTCTTAAAATGTCCTCTCAAAATGTCCTCGCAGAATATCCAAAATGTCCTCTTAAAATGTCCTCCCAAAATGTCCTCTTAAAATGTCCTCTCAAAATGTCCTTGCAGAATATCCAAAATGTCCTTTTAAAATGTCCTCTTAAAATGTCCTCTCAAGAATCCAGTAATCCAGCATTTTAATGTTTAACAATAGACTTGAACAATAAGAAGCTTATCTGAAGCCTATTCAGGAGCATTAGAAAATAAAATGTTGTGTATATAGTGCTCCGCATATATATGAGCACACTTCTATAGGATGCTTTACAGCAGGGAAGTCCAAAGTCGGTCCTAGAGGGCGGTGTCCTGCAGATTTGAGCTCCAGCTTGCCTTAACACACCTGCAAGGATGTTTCTAGAAAGCCTAGTAAGAGCTTGATTAGCTAGGCCAGGTGTGTTTGATTGGGGTTGGAACTAAACTCTGCAGGACACCGGCCCTCCAGGACCGAGCTTGGACATGCCTGCTTTACAGCATAGGTGTCAAACTGTGTTCCTGGAGGGCTGCAGCTCTGCAGTTTTGCTTCAGCCATAATCAAGCGCAGCTAATCAACTACTGAAGGTAATCAACACCGCGATTATTTGGATCAGCTGTGTTTGATTGGGGTTGGAGCAAAACTGTGCAGAGCCGTGGCCCTCCAGGAATCCAGTTTGACACCTACGCTTTACAGTAATATATCTGTGCATACACATTAGATTAGTCAGTACCAAATCTGGAGCTAATATAACTTACAATAACAGTCCAAAAGTGAGCAGCCCAAATGTGTGTCTTAGGGGAAAATATGAAATAAAAATTTCGAGAAACAAAAACTCCCAAATTTAGCAGTTTGGCAATATTTCCCTGCTGAAAAATCCAGCTTTAGCTGGTTTTAGCTGGTCGACCAGGCTGGTTTTAGAGGGGGTTTGGCCATTTCCAGGCTGGTTTCCAGCCATTTCCAGTCTGGTATTTGCTGGTCAGAAAATGGCCAGCTAAATCCAGCCAAAACCAGCTTGACCAGCCTGGTTTAAACTGGACATAGCTGGTTTTAGCTGGTCAACTCCCAGCCTGACCGGCTAAGAC